GAACGAAATAGTGTTTGTATTCGCGTAACAGAATACAGATGGGTTTATTTTGGAAAGGTGGAGACTAATTAGTAATAGTGATAGTAGTTAATGCTTTTCTTGAGCTACACTACACATTTCCTGGAAGGACTCTTTTACATCTCTAGGCAATGAATAATATAATTTAATACTCCCTAGCGTTGTCATCGGCTGAGTGAGCTTGCTTCGACTATCCGGTAAGTTGTAGTGTTCTTTGTGGGAGAAACTGTTCTCCATGTGACAAAAGAAACACTGTTTCAGGTACTTATAGTCAATATCCACAGAATTATTAGGATGTTTCTTTTCCTGTTGTCGTGTTTGCTTGAAAAGATTATGTTGAGGAAAATGAAGAGGAGTTGCGTCTATCTATGGTTTTGTGTCAACCTAATTCGTTCTTTATACCCCTTGATTTGCAGCTATGGCTGAATGCAAGCCAACTTGGATCAATCCGTCAATTATATATAGTCATCAAAGTGAGCTGCTCTAATTTGTAAGACTTTGGTGGTCTGTTCAACTCGGATTCCTTTTTACTTCACCTTGATTGATGGCATGATTAAGCCGCTGATTGCAAGCTAGCACCAGCGACCATTCCAGGCCATCGTAAGGTATGAGTAAAAAAATGGAGAAAATCGAAAACTGATATGATCAGTCAGAATGTTCGACTCGATGCAGATTGATTTATTTTTGTATTTGATTCGGTTCGATTTGAATAGCTATATATATATATATATATATATATATGTGTGTGTGTAATATTGAATTCAATTTTCGATTCATAAACTGAGAAATAAATTATTCAATTGGAATCGTATTTTTTAATTATATTTTATTTAATTTTTAGTTTTTTACAAAAAATATATTTGTTTAAATAAACTAAAATTAATATTTTAAAATTTTAAAGATAAAAAAGCCGAAATATTCATATAAATAGAATTTAACTCAGGTGGTTTTGATTCAAAAAAAGTATTCAATTGGGTTTAGATTTGGTTTTTTGAAAAACAAAATACTACGAATTAATCGAAAATTTATTTTTAAAATCATTTGGTTTCACTAATTAGGACATACCAGTTAGCACGTTCCTTAAAGAGTGAATCAGCCCGCAGACCATTTTTTTTTCCTTCTTCTGATGCACAATGTGATCATAGTAATCTACGACATAGAAATTGGTTTAAAATCTTGAAGGTCGATGTGAAACATACACAGTTATTCTACCGCATGTAAGGATTGTTAGTGTTATTTCCTGAATAATTGCATGTTAATCCTGTTGCTGATGATATTATTAACTGCATATTGGCCTGCATTCTTATGTCGTTGATGTTATGAAGGAAGAAGAAAAACCATGGAGCACGCAGCAACATAACTCTCCCAAAGCACCTTTTAAACGATTGGGTCGACTATTTATTGAATAAGATGCTTTGCTTTTCGTGATATTCAGCAGCTTTCCACGTTCTCAACTCTCAAGCTGATGATGAATTGGAGGAGAGAAGCAGCTCTTTCACCCACAATTCTTTTCTCCCATATTTTCTTTATGGTGTTATGATTTCTATAACGTATTAAATTTCAATCTGAGCAGAGACCTCTCGTAGGCATTTATTTTTCAGTACAGTTTTGGTGGAAGGGGTGACCACAGCCTTTAGGTAATCTTTATTGCTGAGACTGCCTCTCTGCATATTTTACAACCAGTCAACCAGACCCTGTTGCAGTACGTACAGACTGTATGGCAAAATTGCACCTTCACCGTTTTGTTCTGAGAACTTAATGACCTTTCCAGCTGGCCACTATCGAACTGGCTGCAGACGAAAGCCCCACTTCCTGCTGTTCTTGTGTAATTTGGGCAAGTAGTGTCTAACAGATTATTTACCGAAGCAATACTATTTCCTAGTTCCTACTAGACCTGTCAATATGGGCCGGTCCGGTCCAACCCGGCCCTAGCTCTTGTGGATTGAAAAAGTATGAGTAGAGCCGGGTCAGCCCATATTTTATATG